GTGTGCTTAGGATGAGAAGACGAGTAGAGTAAATAAGAATGAGAGTCAGTAGGTTTGTAATGGACACTAGTGCTAAGACGGTCGTCATTAACACTAAGCAAGATGTCAAGGAAAGTGACTGATGTTTCAGAATTAGAATTTCTGGATTAGATGGATTAGATAAATTTCGAACCCTCCAAAAAAAAACATACAGGATTGATAGCATAGCCTAACTTTCTTTCCTTGTTCTCTATGAAGCGTTCTCAAACTATCCGGTTGGTTTTTAAAATTAGTTTCAACGTATTTTTAAATGATTCCCGCGAAATTTTGGTATTTTGGGCTTCCTGAGCACAGCGTCACTTCATAAAACAAACATACATTACCATGACAACAGGTAGTGCTCACAAACCAAGATGGCGTCGGGTGCAGAAAGCGGAGAAAACGGACTCGATGGCGATCAAAACGGCGAAAATACACCTAAAGCAGACGAACCTGTGGGGAATATTTCAAGATTCTGTTGTCTTCCACCTGGCTATAATGGAAAACCAAAGAAGGGTCATCTGATCTTTGATGCTTGCTTTGAAAGTGGAAACCTTGGTCGAGTTGATTACATCACAGAATTTGAATACGACTTGTTTATCCGACCAGATACTTGTAATCCTCGCTTTAGAGTCTGGTTTAACTTTACTGTAGAGAATTCGTCACCTTACCAACGAGTCATCTTCAATATAGTTAACTTTAGCAAGACGAAAAGTCTGTATAGAGAAGGAATGACTCCACTTGTGAAGTCAACTAGTCGTCCAAAATGGCAGCGAATCCCTGCAAAAAATTGCTTTTATTATCGCTGTCCTGATCACAGAAAAAACTATGTTCTATCTTTTGCCTTCGCTTTTGATAATGACACAGATGTCTACCAGTTTGCATACTCCTTTCCTTATACTTATACGCGTTTGCAGAACTATTTGGACAGTATTGAACGTCAAGGACTTGGCTTCTTCGAAAGAGAGTTGTTATGTACGACTGTGCAACAACGAAAGCTCGACTTGTTGACCATAACGAACCCAGAAAATAATAACTCGAAGATTCGTAAACGAGTTATCTTTATCACGGCTAGAATACATCCAGGTTTGTATTTGAAGATATTTTTGAATATGTTTCCTAGAACTGCATAATGCACTCTATAAGAAATAGAATTATATATAATTTTAAGATTTCATGGTGCTTTAACTGATTTTTACAATACCAGAGTACAATACCATTTATTGCCTCTCAGAAGCTCATTGATTGCTGCAGGGCCGTAGCCACAAATTTCTGATTGGTCTGGCTTTTGAGGGATTTCGGTTTTTGTTAGATTTTAAAAAAAAAATTTTTTTCCCCCGAAAGTTGGTCTGGTTGAAACCGTACTGGTGGCTACGGCCCTATGCTGTTATAATGATCAATAAGATTTGAGTTTATTTTTTCATTTATTGCAGGAGAGACCCCTTCGTCATATGTCTGTCAGGGACTGATTGATTTCCTTCTGAGCAATCATCCCACAGCTAAAATACTTAGGGAGTACCTTGTGTTCAAGATTGTTCCCATGATCAACCCTGATGGAGTTGTGCTTGGAAATTACCGGTGCTCATTAATGGGGTTTGACCTCAATCGGCACTGGCATGAACCATCCCCATGGGCACACCCAACCCTTGTCGCCACAAAGAACCTGGTGATGGAACTTGATAGTGATAGTACTGCCCATCTTGACTTCTACATAGACATCCACGCACACTCAACCCTGATGAATGGATTCATGTATGGTAATATTTATGAAGAAGAAGAACGGTTTGAAAGACAAGCTGTGTTCCCTAGATTACTCTGTGCCAATGCTGATGACTTCTCAATGACGAAAACCTCGTTCAATCGTGATGCCATGAAGGCAGGCACAGGGAGAAGATTTCTTGGCAGTTCTCTTGATCCTGCAACCCACTGCTACACCTTAGAAGTATCATTCTTTAGTTATCATACGAATGGCGCTATGTCACCCTATACTGAAGATGGCTACTTTAAACTAGGACGTAATGTTGCCAGAACTTTTCTAGACTACTACAAGTTGAATTCCTTGGTTGGAAAAGACAAGGATGGTGGCCCAAGGTCACCAATTCGGCGAGCAAGTATGGGGGTGTCTAACAAAGCACAAGGTGGTAGTAATGATCCTAACAGTGTCACATATCCTATGAAATTTTAGTGACATTTTGGTTGCATATCTGACGAAATGTGAATAATAGCAACGAGAGTGTCTTGTTGTAATATGTGATATGTAACACTGTATAACAGAGGTATAGTAGTTAGTTTTACTTAAATTTCAAAAATATATAAATATTTAGTAAATAGAATCTTCTATTGGTTAAAACAATATCTTCTTTACTATTAGATGCATGTAATAATGAACTGATCAGGTGTTTTTTGTTTTTTTGAGTGGGGGCCAGGCAGTGTGATTTGTGGGGGGTGGGGGGGTCATTAAATGAAATCAGTTTCAAGAGGGGGAGTCACCCAAAAAATCAGAGTCACACAGTGAATGAACAGAATAGTAAGCAAGGGATGGGTCATTTTTATGCAGATTTTTTGTATGGGTTGCCAAGCAAATCTAACCTACCACCCCCTCCAGCCTTAACAAAAATTGAATGGCCCCTAGACATCTTAATAGACTGCAGTAATTGCCCTGTTTCACCATGACGTCACTGCTTGTGTATGTGGGGGATAGCATCATCAAATCCAATAGAAAATTCATAAAAATTTGCTCCTAGCGAAACAGTTTAATCTAAAATGGCCTGGTTTTCAGATATTACATGTGTTAATATGTACTAAAAAATATTCTGAGCGTTTGCTGGCTATTCTACTTCTCTTCATGGATTGATACGGGTTTTAGAACAATTTTCAGTGAATTTGCATTTATTTGACCCCCTCCGACGACCATGATCCTTTGCGTTTAAACAATAGATTGTTTTGATGTGACATCATAGTGAAATAGAGCAATTGCCAAGACTAGTATAAAAGGTGTTACTTTGTAAATGAGGTAGATTTTTTTTTTTCTGAAGCAGAATCCTTCAACTTTGCCATAATTGAATATAAGAAAAGATTTAACCAAATCTGTAGCTCTGTTTATCAACAATTTACAATTCTGAGATTAGGCCTGTTGGAGCGTGCTTGTGCTATTTTTACCTTTCAATTGTTTTTCTAAAAGTCTTTTCCTTTTATATTATTATTTTCTTTTTTATATCAGTTTTTTTGTTTGATATTTTTTAATGATTCTTCAATTCAACTGAAAAACCATTATAAAAAGATGTAAAAAATGTAAATAAATATCTGATATCACAAATGATATATTTATAGGTGTATTGGTTGACAGAAAGATTAAATGTAACGAGTATTAACTAGAATTGTTACTTTATATAAGTGGCGTATTATATATATAACTTTATCCCACAATGTTGAAAACACGTTAAGGACACATTGCATGATGGGTCGAGACAGTGGATAAGTTTTCTCGCATTCTGATTGGCTGTATTTTTAATGATGTGAAGTTTAAAGAGGGCTAAAGAAAAGTTATCCACCCGACAACTTTGATCGTTACCCTGAAGTTTGATTGTGTTGTAGTACCATTGTCGTAGTGAAGTACGACCCGGAAAGGTCGACTCCCGTTGGCCGACTAATTCTTCTAAGTTCTTCTATTGTTTAATTCAAAAATCTTTAATTCAGTCCAAAGTTTCCCTTCAGATATCGTTTTTTTAAATTGCAGTTCTTTGATCGACGGTCGTTGAAATACTAGTTGGCGAACGAGAACTTCGCGGGTCGCACTTCAGTGATAACGGTAGTGAGACAAAAAACGTTTTGTTAATAGTGTATATTTGTTTGATTTCAACTTTGKTCAGTGTTGTTTTCAAATGACAGTCAATGCTCTTTAGCACTTCAGTGTTTACATTGTATTGTTAACATCTGGGTGATTTCTAAGCCATGGTTGACTTTTTGTCCTCTAACGGACCCATGATAAAGTGAAATAACGACCCTCTGAGACGACATTAACCGACAAGGAAAATGCGCCCTGACTTTAAATCTGATAATCTACGCTACGATAAAATTTTGAAATTCGATTTTTTCCGGCATTTTTCGAAGATTTGATTGTGTTTTCTATATCCTGTCCAAACCGCTTTTTGATGCAGAGTGGAAGCCTTCGTTTTTAAACGTTTTATCTTGGCATTTTTCGTCCGCTATAAGTGCTACTCTCGAAAAATAGGGAACTGACCTTAGTTTAGAATCGATGAATCCAAAAATGCCTTATGCTTTTCTCGTGATAGCATTCCTCATTTGTTCCGTCTTTACGAAAGGAGTAGAAACAGAAATGTCCAGGTCATTCATCTTTGCTGCAGTTGTAAATACCTCCAGTATTAGTCTTGATTCTGAAGATCAATTCCTAGCAAGACACAAAACTAGAAGTGCTGTAGGTTGTGCTCACAAATGTCTGACCAACAAACAGTGTCAGGTGATTGGTTTTAACGCCAAGTCAGGAGATTGTTGGTTGATGAAGAGTTCTGGCAGAAATAGTCTTTTGACTGAACAAAAAGGCAATATCATTCTAATCAAGGTAAGTCTTTTCAAACAGATTTCGAAACTTTACGATATTTCAAACCATTTCATTTATTTCGGGGATATATCTCGAAGATTGTTTTTGCCGAAAACGTTTTCTACATTACAAAAGAATGTATAAATAAAGTAGATTCACGAGTTTGACTTTTAGCTTTTCTTTTGCGAAAATTAAACACTAAAGACTTGTCCCTATCACCAGAGATCTTTCGTATCTTCATTTAAGCGGTCTTTAGTTAACTTTTTTGGACTCAGTTCACATCTAAATAATTTTTTTTCATCATGTTTATTAAATACATTTTCAGTTTCAAACGAAACCAAGTAGGATAGGTAGAGTAAAACTTTTCAATTCGTCATATCAAGAATATATATTCAGCTGAAGTTTACAAAGGACAAGAAAACCAAACAAATCTACCCATTCATCTTATTCGCAGTTTATCGCTGAGATTTGTTCATACATCAAGCTGACCAAACTCTTTGATCCTTTGTTTCCAAGTTTCTTGAGGACGAAAAACGTGATGCATTGTGGTCTAGAGTCCTAATGTTTTTTTCTAAAATCTTTAATTTTAGGTTGAAGATCAGAGAAATTCGAAGAATACAGTTGGTAAGTGAAAGTATTGTTTCGTTTGGTTCTTGTATCAAAACTAAAGGAAACCTAAGAGAGAAAACTGAGGAAGGAATGTGGAGAAAGAAAGGAGGGGAAGGAAGGAGAGAAGGAAGGCGGTAGGGAAATATATATATTATCCTTGTTGGTAAGTGTTGGTGATTAAAGTGAATTTTTTTTTTTTTTGTCTCGTATTTTTATTCAGATGAAGAATTTTCATCGTGCAAGGAAGTGTTGGATAAAGGAAGGTAAGATCTACGTGAATGACGTCCAGCCCACGTTATTCAGATGATCCTATCGATTGYATTGGTTTGATTGCAGATCTAAAGGTAATGGAATCTACAATATCAAAAGTACCATGRCGTATTGTCACATGGACGAGTTACCCAACTGCGGTGGTGGGGGATGGACGCTGACCATGAAGATCAATGGATCTAAGGTAAGACATTAACTGATTGGATAGTCATGACAACAACAGCGTGACATACAGCTTTCTAATCACTCCAGAACACGTTTGACTACAACACCTCATATTGGACAAACAGAAAAGCATTGAAGGCCGAAAATGGACTGGAACTAGAAGACAAAGAGTCAAAGCTACCAACATACTGGTCAACACCGCTGACCAAGATCTGTCTCGGCATGAAGATGAAAACAAACCGTGAAACCAAGTGGTTGAAATTAGAATTAAAACAGCGCGCTAGCTCGCTTTATGACGTCATGACCACAGGGAACCCAACAAAGTCATATAGTCTTCTTGGGGTAAACAAATGGAAAAATCATTTCTTCCCAAGAACATATTTGTATAGCGGGGTATATTTTGAGGGCGTGAGTGTGTCCTTAAAATCTGGGTCGAAGGTTAGGCTTGGAGTCATATCTAAGGTCGTAAGGGACAGTCAATGGTGCGACTCGGTGTTAGGTTTTGGTATGTGGTATGCATCGGGTGGACGTGTTTCTTGTGGCAAGGGAGGATCAAAGGAACTTTCAACCGATGAACCTGCTTTTTGCTACATTTTAGCTCAGTAAAATCGCTACTGGACTGAAATATTTTTGTGTTTCCAAATCGAGTCCTCATATTTGCTGGAGGCTTTCAGTTTCATGAGAGAAACATACACAAAACACACGATTGCGCAAATAATCAAAGGGAAGAAGAAATCTCTAAGAAATCTCTCGTTAACGAGTGGTATAGCATCCAACATAGTGGCTATAAGAAAGATAGACCACATCAGTCGCACGTTATTGCATCTATAAATAATAACCAACAAAAAAACTAAATAGTTTTTCTTATCCTCAAGTCAATATTATTTTTCTTCGTTGTTCGATTATTTTACATCCTTTTTGCCGCTTCTTACTCTTCCCTTTAGTTCCCCCGCCCCAATTTTTATTGGGCAGGGGGGGGGG